AAGGAAATCTCAAAGTTAGATTAGTTAGTACGCCGGTATGAACTTCTTAATTAGCATGCCGAATCATTATCTTATATAGGAAATGCAACGGTATGTATCTTACACGAGGATAAAATAACCAGCATCAACCAAGCATTTCACTCTATGAGCTTTAGGTAATAAACTGCGGAAGTGATCACAGTATAGCATTGCTGGATATCCATTAGCAGAACCGCCAGAAAGAATAGCCTGCAGTTATTAAGTTCTCTCAGGATTTTCCAACGAACGATAACAAATACTACTACTATTTCTGTTATAATTTAAGCATACGTACGTTCTTTGCATCCTTTAATCCTTTAGCTAAAAGATCCTCAATTATTGCATCAAATATCCTTGCACCTCTAAAATGAAGATTGGTAGCCTAAACAATATAGGATATGAGAATAGTTCAATGTTGTCTTGTCAAAAAACACACCGATAAAGAAATGTCACAAACACACATTCAGAGAGAGTTTTAAAATAGGAACTAGATTGAAAAAGAGCATACAGGATCAACGTTTTCGATATCTCCAGTGAAAGCTCCACCATCACAATACCTAACAAAGACTTTGTTCCAGTTGTAAAAATCTGCATGATTTACAATAAATATAACCAATTTATGATCGATCATATGTATAAGCCTTTCTCAATCAAATTGAACTTTTCATTCTAGATTATCAAATAGTTCTCGATAATTAACCTGGATTTTCTCTTTTGCTCTTGCTGAAAATGCCTAAAATATAAATGGCAGCATAAGTGTTGAAGAACCCAAGTCAGTCTTGGAACGGTTTAGGCAGTCTGTCGTGTTTCTGCACCATGCTCCTCCCTATTTACAAAGTGAAAGTTGCAGAAAGCAAGCATGTCTCAGTAGTAATAGGGGGTCAAATAGGCAGGTTGATTTGAAATTATAAATATTAAAATGAGTTGAAACATAAATTGGGTTGGATTCTGACCCGCCCAAGTTTACTTTGAACTCAAATAGGTTGGGCTCAAATGGGCTTAAACACCAGTTGGGTTTTGATCCGCTCAATTTGATCAACTTAATCTCAATAATTTTAATATTTTATGATTTAAGTTTTATAACAACATTTTGAATTTCAACTCAACAGAATTTTAAAAAACAAGTTATAAATGCATAGAGAAATTCTAAAAGATATAAAATAGATAGTAATTCATAATTTCAATATAGGAACATACATTACATCAATGTAAATAAAGAGTCTTAAAACAGTTTGAATTTAAAGATTAAATGAGGCTCAATTGAAACATTTAAAACCTTTGCAGAAAGCAAGCGCGCCTCAATAATGAATAACCAGAGAAAGAGTTTAACTTGTATTAATGTTATGTTAAACTTACTGAGAGTAGAATAATCCAGTTTCTGAGTCCATGTCCGAATCCTCGATCAAGATGGTACGCTGGAGGTGATCCGTCCAAGCAAACTGCAAGTAAAACTATAATCATGAATTTTTCTACTTTAAGTTGGATTTAATTTGTACGTATATATATTGAACCTGCTCCTTTTGATACAGAATTCTGAACAATTGTTTTATCGACAAAATATGCATGATCTGCGCCTTTGATCTCTTGTTTCAGTGATTCATTTGCTTTTGTAGAATCAGTTTTGCTGATGGCCAGAGAACAAATAAGTAAGCAAACAAGTTGAACACTTCTTGTCGACATCATTAACCTGCACTACATAATGTCCAAGGATGAGAAATGAAATATTTTCTGTAAAAAAAATCAATCTAAGAAAATACAATTTGATAATAGTTATTATCAATTTGTCTGATTTACGGATATAATTTTTGTCGATACATAATATAATATAATTGAATGTAGCATACAAATCCATACCAAATTAAGGCTTTCGAAAAGTATTATTACATGTAAGATTCATCAAATGAAATAGTATGTCTCCATTCAAACAGAGAAATAATGGATCATATAAAATGATTAAAGTTAAAAGAGGGTAAGAGAAGGACCTAAATTGAAGTTGAAATGGTGAAACACTGAACAACTCTTGAGTGGCTGTATGAGTATGATGAATTCATATCACTGAAGATGGTGATCCATATATTATATACTCCCTCCGTCCCATTTTGTGAGATAGTTTGACTCGGCACGGAGTTTAAAAAATAAAGGAAGACTTTTAAAACTTGTGGTTCAAAATAAATGATAGAAATTTGTGTGGTTGTAAATCATTTCATTAAGAATAAAATAAATATTTTATAATTAAATTGTTACTTAATATTAAAATGTGTTTTCTTTTTTAGACTGACAAAAAGAAAGTAAATCACATAAATTGGGATAGATGAAGTATATAATATGCTCAAACTAGATATGAATTGACCTGTTTTTGTTTATTCATTGTTCACATGCTATATGGAAGAGAGAACATGGGAGTAAGTGTGCCGTGCAGCAAACAGAGGGTTGACTATATTTTATTTTTTGTGTCTATTCATTAGAATGTGAAACTAAGGTTGTAGACTCCTATTTTAGATTTTAATACTGATCTAGTTGCTTTTATAAATTCTAGCTAGTTAAGTAATTTTGGGTGTAAAACGGTTTACTTCTAAAGTACCTTTTGATGAAGTCCTTGCGTAGGGCTGTCTTGAATCTCAACCATAAGGCCACTAAAACAATCGCTTGGGATTTCCATTTTTTCTCTTATATATATATATATATATTACTAAAAATATCTCATGTATTGATAAATTTTAAAAGAATTTTTTGGATAAAAAAAACGATTTTTTACCTCATTTAATATAAGGATTGTTATAATAATTGAGAAATGAAATAGTGTTTAGTTAGTTGTAACATCCTTTCTTACGTTATCTATTTTGTTGTCTCATTTATATTTTGACAATTTTCATGAACTAAAGTCTCTCGAACAGTCAAACCTACTACATTACAAAATCTATTATTGTGTGCTTATAAAAAACATCAAATTCATTTTTTTGTTGTCTTCTACAAATTTCAAGCACTAGAACTAATATAATCAATAGTACTATTTTAATATCATTATATCAGCTTATCAAATTTAGCGCAACACTATTTCGATACCATTATATAAATTTTTTGAAATTTTTGAGTTAGGTTTTATTATTTTAACTTGAAAATTTTACATTGTTTACATTCTTAGTTCATAATGTTCGCGTATATACTACCTCTAAAGACCTCATTTGTAGGATTACACTGAGTATGTTATAATTATTCAATTTGTATATGTCAACTAAAAAAAATAAGCCTCTTCATGAAGTTTGTCCATATGCCTCCAAACTTGTCGAGACGGCCCTATCCTTACAGTACTTGAGACTTTACCACTATTAACCTAAGTCTCAAGTAGATTATCAACATCAGGTCTCAAATTTTTAGATGAAACACAAGTCCCAAATTTTTGTGTTTAGTTTTTTTTCCTAATCTTTTACTTTTTTCCAAGCAAATATAGAATACATGCAAGTTAGTCTAAAATTTTAACTATACAACTATATTTCATTGTTACTCTCCTCTACAACCGTAGTTATGAAATTAGTTACCCATCAAAAGTGCAGAAACTGAATTAAAAGTATGAAAAGATATACTTACAATAATAAAAAATGGAACCACATACAACTATTGTTGGTTGTGCCTACATCTTCTATGCTTTATTTATCTCTCCTCTTAGGAAAGATTATTATTTAAATAAAAATAAGGGAAAGAAAAAGATTCATAAGAAATAAGAATATCATTAACATTTAATTTAGGTAAATGTGTGAATTAATTATTTTTATTAATTTCATCATGTAAGGTCAATAAAATGTGAATTTCTCATTCTTCTTTTTTTTCGTTTCTGATGAAAATTTTCATGCAGCTTGCCTTTATAGGGAAAGATTTCTTGTTCATTTTTCATTCAAATTTATTGAAAATTAGATCTTTCATCTTCCGGTCATTCAGTTCTTTAATTTTTTGTCACCTCAGGTGACTAGAATAAAGTTTTTTTTTTGTTTGTGTAAACAAATAGTTGATCATTACATTAAAAGTTGTGTGAACGGAGGTAGTAATAAAATAAAATCATCAACTAATATGGAACGGAAGGAAAATATTTAAAATTCCCTCCGTTTCATATTAATTGATCATCATATTAAAAATAGTTGTCACATATTAATTGTTCATCTTATTAAATCAGGAAAGTATTAATTAATTTTTTCCTATATTACCCTTTCAATTAATTCTTTTTTAAAGTATTCCCATTTGTTTGTATATAAAATTCTCAATAAGTTCTTTAGGGGTGAATTGGTAAAATTATCTTTTTATTTATGATTTTTAAGCACCGTGCACAAATAACCAACAACTTAGGTTGCGTGTTCTACACAAAGGAAAATGTTTTCTATGAAAATATTTGAATTTCTTACTTATTTTTTTGTGTTGGGTATATGAAAAAAGTATTATCCAAAAAATCATTTAATTATATATAATCTAAGGGGTATGGGGCTACGAGGGGAGGGGTGAAGATGAGGTATGTTGGAGGGTGGGGAAAACACAATCAATATAGGATGCCACTTGTAGAATTTGTTCTCTTCTTTCCTTGAGTAATTCTTGTAGAGAAAATATTTTCCAAAAATTTTGACCAAAAGAACAATAAGAAAATCGGAAAACATTTTCAACCATAATAAACACACCCTTAATGTTGAATTCGTAGCACTTAAGCTATCCAATGATTCTTAATGATCATTATTAGTATTGTACTTTTATACTAATGGTTATTCCTTTCCATTCCCTTAATCTGTATGAAATTTTCAGAAAAGGAATATTAGTCCTTTACAAGTCTGCAAGGTAGATGCTTAACTTTTGATTGTTGGTTTGGGTTTTTCAACTGCATTTCGTATTGTTATATTGAAAATCCTGTGTTATTCTCAGGCATACATTACAAGTCTTAAATTTTCATTTTTCATTACTTAGGTAGTCGTGACATTTTGTTATCGATAACTAATTAGTTGATCTGATAGTTGATGGCATCGCCTGAAATTGATTATCCCAGGTTATCCTCGGGTTCTGAATCTTTTGGTGGATGCTTTAACATACGAATAGAAGGAGAAGACTCGAGACACACTTTGGATTTTCATGAAGATCGAAAGTCTCCAGTTTATAATGAACGTAATATCCCAGAGCCTCCACCTCCTCCTGGTAAAATCTGTTCGAAATCCATTACTCATGAAAGAGGACATGGTAAGTCTGATAGTGTCCCTAATGAAACTCGAGATACATGGGACAAGCTTTTTAAAGATGGATATGGAGCAGATGTACATATAAGTACCGATAATGGATCATTTATTCCTGCTCATTATACTCTTTTGGTCAGTACTAATATTTTCATCTTCATTTATAATACTTGCAAACCTGAATGTAGAATTGCTAGTCATTCACATCTTGATCATTTGTAATGACTCCTATATATACATGCTATATCACACTTTAATTTCTCCCTTGTGTTGTCTTTAGAGGATTGCCTCGCCGATACTGGGTAATCTTCTACAGCAATCCAAAGTAAAAAATGGTATCAGATGCATAAAGATTCTTGGGGTTCCCCATGATGCTGTCTTTATATTCATTCGCTTCCTCTACTCAGCCTGGTATGCCAAACGTTTTTGCCTTGTGTTTCCTTAAATATCTATTGACGTTTAATGTTGCTTCTTTTTAAATTGGATTGATTATATTACATACACGTATTTCACATTTGTGTTTCATAGTTTCTGTTAATAGAATCAACAAAGCCATGGAAGGCTTTTCGACCACATAGTAATGGTGGTGAACTAGCTAGCCTGCCATGGCCTATAATAGTAGAAGTTCTTGTTAAGGTTTTATCCTGATTTTCTTATCATTCGTAAGTTTTATTTTTCTTTTGAAGGAGAGTCAAAATATTACTATAATTGCTTTTACTTTTTCTGAAAGGAAAACATGATTTTCTTTCATATCTGGATTATTCTTTTCCTTATAGAAAAAGTTTAGAACTATATAAATTTGAAGATCCCTCTTCTCATACCAAAACACAATAACATCCACAATGTAAGAGTTCTATTAAGGAGGTTCTATACTTTCTTTTATATTAGATTTTCATATGTAGGCCAATTGTTCAAATCATATAAAAATATTAATATTATGTTTTTTAGTATAGTTCATTGTTATCTGATTTTATCGCGTCTATAATTTACAATTGTAAACGTCCACACGATTCATGATTACTTTCTAACCCAATAGTTCTGATATCTAAGTTAAACATCCTTTGGTTGTTCAGCTACTATGATACTTGAAATTTATCTCACCTGTTTGTCCTACTGCAGTTATGAAGAAAGAGGAATGAAGACTTTTGTTCTTCATCTGTTAGTCTTATCACATTCTTATTCAGTACCATCACTTAAAAGAGTCTGCATACACCTTTTGGAGCAGGGTTGGTTGAGCCCTGAAAATGTGATAGATGTGCTTCAGTTGGGAAGGAACTGTGATGTACCACGACTTATTGTTGTTTGTATTCGTATGATAGTGAGGAACTTCATAACCATAGCATCCTCCGAGGGATGGGAAGTGATGAGACGTGCTAACCCTACGCTTGAACAAGAACTTCTAGAATATGTTGTTGATGCAGATTCGATAACACAGTAACAATGTTACAACTTCCATGAAGTATTAGTAACAATGACTATCTTTCTAGCACCTATGTGCTGACTGTTTAGTGTAGAAACATTTGTTTCTACATGGTTATTGAAACTCTTTACTTTTGAAGTATTTGTTATGTCTCAATTGTCCCTCATTGGATTAAATCAATACCTATTTCTAAGGATTCATTTGTTCGTACTTAATGGAGGTTCAAGTTTTAATGATTCAGACATTTTACCATTAAATACATTTGTTTTAATTAAAGTTTAAGCATTTAATTGGTCTGAATAGGTTTTAATCATTAATATCTAAAACATTGTCTTAATATCATTAAGAGGTATTCTTGTGTGAATAATATTCATTATTACTCTATCCACAATCACCAGCCACCACCACTAGCCACTTCCACCATCACCACTATCATTGTCAACCACCATTACCGTCATCTACCACCAACCACATCCGTCATCACAATCATCACTGTTCTATCCACTGCTACCAACTTACCTCTTTCATCATTATATATTCATTGCCGCCGCCGCCCCCGTCACCTCCACCACCACTATCAACAAACTCAGTCATCACAGCTAGTATCGCCACCAACTACCACCATACATTTTTTGTCATCACCATCACTACATCCACCACTACTATCAACCACTAACACGATTGTGGTCAATTTCTACTACCAACAACTACCATCATCATGGCTATCACCATCACCAATTATCATAAACACATCATAAACCATTACACGTTCTTCAACTACCACCATACATTCTTCAGTCACCACAACTCACACCACCAACTACTAACATAAATCAACTTAACCATCAAAACCACCAACAACACTACCAATCGCCATTATTATGACAATCTCCACTTCCACTATTACATCTATCAGTACACTATCATTATTAGTCACTAACAACAACTATTACCATCACCACCGTTATTACAAAGTATCTCCACCATCACTAGAAAACATAAGTATTTTTTTTTATCAAATAGTGATTTAATTTTATTATTTAATTATTTTATTTGAATTATATGTTTTTGTGTGCATATAAATAAATCATGTACATTCATATGTTGAAAAACAAACAGTTTTAATCATTCAGTGTTCAGATCTAGAGACAACGTCTCAATCATTCAGATGTGCATTTAGATACGACTAAATATTCTTAATGAAAACAAATGAGGCCTAAGTGTCCTCCACCCTTCCCATTTTCAAGCAACTGCATATGAACATATCGTTGATCAATGCACTGAGAGACATGCTGAAATATGTAAAATATCTGTAAGAGGTTGTGGCATGCAAAAGACATCTGGGAGAATATGAGACTGTTGCACTTCTAGAGGAGTGTAGTTCTAGGGTCTTGAACAAGCTTCTTGAGCTTATTGAAGTTAAGTGCAGACTTGTAGATAGAAACCGTGGTAGATTGCTTAAGGTGCTGCAGAAGCATGAACAAGTAGTCAAGTGACCCAAACTACTGTCGAAAAAAGATTGAAAAAGAGGAAGAAAGTGCAAAATGAGGAGTTTAGACATCTCAAAAGGATTAAGAAGCGAATAAAGGCTTATAAGAGCAGAAAATGAAAGAGAGAGTCCAGAACATCGACTTCAGTTATATCGATGTTAAATCAAGCACTTATTGAGAGACAACCCAATTTATAATAGTGTAGAAAGTGCAAAATGAGGAGTTTAAATCTCAAAAGGATTAAGAAGCAAATAAAGGCTCATAAGAGAGTCCAGAACATCGACTTTAGTCATGTCGATGTTAAATCAAACACTTATTGGGAGACAACCCAATTTATAATAGTGTAGCTTATTATGTTTATCATCGCATTGTCACGTTTTTGTTTAGTTTTGTTGTGCATATTAGGGGATGCTTGAGTACCCAAAATTAAAGCTAAGGAACAAATTTGAGCATAAGTGTAGATTGTGCAATCCTTTTTTATGGAAATTGAAAAAACATGTTGCTAGCTCAGGCCTCATTCTCGTTATAATTTGCGTTGAGGACAAAACATGATCTTAGTTTTGGGATGGGGAAGTGATCTTGTTAGATATGTTTTTGTATTAGTTTTGCTTTTTTATTTTTTTTGGGTTCCTCGACTTTTGTATTCAGTATTTTTTTTAGGATAATTCCTTTAAACCGACTAGATTTTATTTTTATTACTTTTTACAATTAGTTTAGTTTTTTTAGGTTAACTTTTCTATAACTATGAAGTCCATCACTATTAGGACGACACTCTAAATAATGGAATCTACTAGACTTGATGGGAATTTGGTTTTCAGAAAAATATAAAAAGATAGAAGCACATCTAGACTCATGTACTTTCTAGCAAAGACTTTTAAAATAGGGCTTAATAAATGCATATTATTCAATGTGTTAGTTATAAAGATTGGAGTTTAGATAACTAAGTTCGAAATTATTAATGTTTCATGAGTAGTGAGTATTTGTCCATTTCTTCTATTAAGACATTTAGAACTTGACATGTGTGTAAAAAGTTGAACTTGTTGGATGTTGTGAAGAAATTTTTTGTTTAAACCTATATAATTTTTATCGTAATACCAACCTAAACATCTTTCCTAGTTAATCATTTATAAGCCTATAACTTATTTGTATAGCCTTGTGATATATCCTATTCTCTTTTGTTGATTATCCTTATGTTTTGATCCAAAATTCTTTAATGCACTTTGAGTTGAAAGACTTAACGGAAAAGAGGGAGATGAGAAAAACAGGTGAATAAACTCAGAAAAGATGGGTTATGAAGAAAAAAGAGATAGAAAATAGTGTCCAAGTTGTGAAAAAAAGGTGAATATAACTTGATTATAAAAGGTTGAGAAGTGTGAAAAAGAAAGAGTGAAAATTATCCTTGTAGCAACTAAGTAGTAAAAAGGGGGCAATATCTAAAGGATAGGTAAAAAACGAAAAGTATCATAAAAATTGAAAGTAAGGTGAAGTAAGAAAAGGAGATTTATTGATTTTGTTAGTGTGTCTTAAAGTGCATAGGAAAGATTAGTTACTATCTTAACCAAATATTTCCTACCCCTTCCTTAGTTGAACCCGAAAAAGTTTTGATCCGATAGTTTAGTACTTTGATTGATGTAGTAACATACAATTAGAAAGTCTATGACATAGTCTCATACGTCTTGAAATTTCTTGTTAGAGTGAGAAATTTTTATTTGCTTATGTCTTGTCGATTATATACATATGATGAGTGAAAAAAATGACATTTCTTTGAGCGTGAGGACATTTTATAGTTAAAATTAGTAACTTAACGACTTAAGTAGTTTCATCTTAGCATATTGGCCCTATAAATGAGACAAAGAGTCAATCTAATGATTGAGGTTTGCATGATAAGTCTTGAATTTGAAAAATTGCGCTTGAACGAGTAAATTTCAGATCATGATTAAATTGTCCATGCAAATCGGATTTGTGAGTAGCCTTGTCTAACTAACACTGATATTATAGGTCAGTAGAGGATAGGATGAGTTGTTCGAGGACGAAAAAAACTCTAAGTGTGAGGTGGTGATTTGGGGTGTATTTATACATTTAAACACCATAATTTACCCATGTTTTAGCTATATCTTGAGTATAATTTTATGAATTTCCTTGTGTTTATTAAATATATATTATGATGAGCTAATAGATATGATTAAGATAATTTCAGATAAAATAGCCAAAAAAAACTAAAAAAATGGATTGGAACACAAAACAAAGTGTTCTGGATTAAAATCCAGTCAATAGAATGCTAAAAAGGAATTTGAGGCGCGAGGTGGCCTTTTATGAGATTGGTCTTGCGTCGCACCTATCTAGAAATGAGATTCAGAGACTTTGATTTTCTGGAGAACTCTTAGATGGACCTTGCACTATGCGCCTCCTCCCTCAGCGATGGGTCTTGCTCCACACACCCTCTATCATCAAGTTGACCAAAGTTAAAGCAGAGTTAAAGAGGAATTAACATTCCATCCTACAATTATAAATATGTCTTATTGACTATATTTTTAAGGTTATGCCTTTTTTTTAAGGTTATGAATTATTAATAGAGATTAGATTTTACTCATAGTAAAAAGATTTATTGTTTTTAGTTTTTAGGGTTACTTACAGTTTTTAATAGATTATTGTGGAACAAACAACATTCTCTTGCAAGGGTTGTGTTAATCAAATATTTTGTTTACATTCTTCTTAATTTAATGTTCTTTAATTAGTAGTTTAAATTATAATAGTTATTTCTTATCGCTAGTTATGAGTAGCTAAACTCATAACTAGAGCTATGAAACTTAGAGCAGGGACAATGATAATAGATTCTTTACAATAATATATTCTCATGAAGGGCTGATCATTGTGCATTAAGGTTATTTAGTAAAATTTCTTTTTTAAAGGTTGTGAATATTAAAAACTTGACCGTATTTTGACTTGCTTGACAAAAGAGGTTAAGACTAAGAAAATGGTCATTAATAGGGATTTGGTGCTACCAAGCACCACATAATAGCTTGACCTAGAGATATAATAGCTAACCCGAGGCTTTTGATGAATAAATAAATTAATTTGACACCCAAGTGCCGACAAGAATTTAGGGTGATATTCTCTTAATCCGACCGAGAGATTTTTTGAGACTTATAGATTCGTTAGTTTTGCACGATAAACACACTTGAATTGAGTTGATAGTAAAGTATTTTTCTTTTGAGTTTCGATATCTAAGAACTGTAACCTAAGTTCATCTTTATTATTGATAAAAATCTAAAATAGTTAGTAATTTCTTATAACCCCCCACCCCCACCCAATTTTTCTAATAATAGTTACTAATTAGAATTTCGATAAAAAATTATAAATATATCTAACAACACTCTATTTGGAATTCGCAATCTAGTTGGTTTACTGTATTTTGAAATCAATCATTTTAATTAGGTAAAAGGGTCTAGTTTAAACGACATCAAATGACACGTTTGGCATAATGGATAAATGGAGATAATCCTGATATATTAAATCCTTAGCACCCAC